TACACTCCCTGGACAACGCATCGCTCACGAGCCGGCTCGGCGCGGCACCGCCTACTTTGCTGTCCACGTGGTCGCGCCGTGCCGATTGGAAACTGCGCATCTCCTCTTCAGGCGGGACGGGAGGGAGGGGGGAAGAGAGAGAGAGAGAGGGGGGGGGAGACAGGAGGAGAGAGACACGGAATTGGAAGTCTTTGGCCGCGCGGTCCGTGTCTCTTTGGTATGTGCGTGAAAGTGCCCCCCATCCTCCTCCGTCGTCCTCCGCTCGGCCACTCGCCCTCCGCGCGCCACGCCACGCCACGCCCGCGGCGTCCAACACGCCGGAGGGTCAGTAATTAGGGTGAAAGAAAAGAGATCCCACCAACACCGCCGCCGCACCACCGTGACTGCATGGCTACGACGGCATGGCGGTGATGCGGCGGTGAGGTAGCAGCTTTTGCCTCCCCGGGGTTGCGATCGAGTTGCGATCGGCTCTCGGATCGCCTCGCACACCTACAAGATCATTTGACTGCCCTGGCGCATGCTCAGACTTATACTAACAACGGCCGGGACTTGCGCCGCTGGCAGCGATCGTCTTTACCAACACGGTGAAAAATGCGTTCGTACATGTACGACATATTTTGTAAATGCCATTTACAAAATGCGCCGTAGAATCGCACGATTCCTTCCATGGAAAATTGTCCTTACCCGGTACGCCTAATTTTGGCAGTGAAAGGATTTGAGATTTGTCGGAGTACAGAACGTAGGGCCGGACAACGGCCTGCCCAAACGTTTCGACGCCAATCGGTCGAATGGTCGAATGCATTCCGTGGAGCATTCGCATATATGGTGGGCCCGGTGGGAGCGCCTGTCTCCTCCCTTACCCTAAGCCCTGGCCCCGGTGTGGTCACTGCTGCGCACCCCTTCAAACCTCGCGCCACCGAGGTGAGGGCGCCACTGTCGCGCGCAGCTGAGAACACCGCCAACCGACACACCCACACACACGCACCGGGTTTTAGTTGCACGAAATTTAGCCTTCTGCTAGAGGAGGGGGAGAGATACAGTAAATGGTTTCTCTTCAAAAATTGTTGAAATGTCGGGCGTCGTAAAATTCTTGAAGTCGCTGGTGACAGCGGTGAGTCTCATTCACACATGGCAGGGAAAACCAAATCAGTAACCTTAAGTTTGTTATTATTATTGATCCTAACATCAAAACCTTGCAAATTATTTGGCTTAAGATTTTTGCCTTGCTACATTAAAACTTTATAATAAAATCAAAATGAATGACTAAAAATTTGCTTAATTTTAAAAAATTGTCTAGCCTGAGCAACAACTTTTTCTTATGTTACAAGAAAATTATCTAAAGCTTCAACTGGGTTATGGTTCAATTTTCTATTTTGATGTCTTCAAATGATTTGAAGTGTTGACAATAAGTCAATCAGGTTTGTTTTGGTCATGTGAAATCATTGTAATGAGATAGCAAAGTGATACCAGTTTGTTTTTTCATGTAATTTATTACCCCGAGAAGGCATCCAATTTGTAAATAACTATTCTCCCAAAGAAATCTGTGCTTCGGTTGAATATAACTGAAAATTTCTTGGCTATTACGCCTGAAGGTAGCTTAAATACTTGTAGTGTGTTTACATCTTCCGGGTAGAATGGAACATCGTCATTTTTTTCTCCATTTTCACGTGTTGAAGAAAACATGCAATCTTGCCCAACAAACCCACCTTGAAACTGAATGACAATCCTCTCAATTGTAACCTCTTGAGGAAGTTGCAGTGAGACAAACTGGGGAGATCCCTGTTAAAATGTAATTTTTGTCTGAGTTCTAAGATCTAAAAACTGGCACATTCCATCTCAGTAGAATGTTATGAAATAGAAAAAAGACCAACCTGGGCAGAGTTCCAGCATGTCTCATCAGAACCATCAAACATGTATTTCTTCCCGAATTGCTGATTGTCTCTATTGAATACGGAGCTCACTCTGTGAACAAAATAGAAAGTGTTTCTATCATTTTCAAATTGTTACTTGTGATGAAATACTCCTTAAGAGACATAATGTTCTTCATTACAGGAGCCAGTGACTTCAAGAGTTTTGTCAAAAACTACTGAAATATCACAAACATCAACACCATCGGTGACACCCTCTTCATCGCCTACTCATTCTGAACCATCAAATATCCAGGTTTGAAAAAAGCAATACTGAACTGTTTAAAGAGTACAATACACTTAATTCTATTAAATAAAGTTCATCTCTAACTTTCATTTGGTATGGATTGTTTGTAAATGCCCATAAGAATCAGAGGTATCAAAGTTAAGTGTCTCATGTCAGGACTCTGTAATTGAGTATATCATTTTAAAACTAATATGATTACAAAGAATTTACATACTTGCATTCAAATCCGTTCTTCAGTACTGATGACATTATGAGCGTTAATTATTCCTGGTTAGTACAATATTAAATTCTCGTATCGACAAACTTAGCTACACAGGGCAACCTAACCCCTACATGAATATCAGAGTAGCCAACCTATTTTTCTAGCCGTTCAGTTGGCAGCTGTCGTCCAGCCCTGTTGTCTGCTACTGAACTCCTGCCAAAATGTCTCTTGCTAGGTTATATTTTTCGAATTCTTTGCAACGAATCAGTATTTTAACAGATCTTCGGTGTTGCTACAGTATCCAGGTACTAAGTTTTTACTTAAAAGAGCCGTTGCATTCTAACATTGACCTCCAAGAGACTCGACTGGCATTTTTAATTGATGTAGTTCCTAACCTTGTGTCTCTCCTCTTCTTCCATCATAACTTTTCAAGTCTATTCCCCTAATCTTTTTTCCCCCTTTTTAATTTTTTTATATGTATATATCCACTACAACAATGTCAACGAAGATTCATTGTAGTTATTTTTTATTATTAAATATCTAATTTTTCTCTCCTATTGCAGTCAGTCAAGCCCCATGTACCTCTCATCAAGTTCCGAAAGGGAAGCCCAGCTCATGGTAAGTAATAAGACTGCTCTCAAAAGCCCCCTCTTCTTGTAAAAATATCAGTTAAATTAAAATGTCAGTTAAATTAATGCATGAGACTTCCTCTTCAGGCCATTCAGCAGGTAGTGGATCACCGTCTCCTGGCGTAGCTGGTAGTAGTGTTGTTTTTTCTCGTGGGACCATTGAAGATTACCAACTACCTTCAAGGTACCAACGAACTCCTATGGACGAGAAAGAAATTGAGTACATTAATGTAAGAGAAGTTTTGCATATGCAATATGAGAGTATGCTGGTCCGGCATCTACTGTATCTACCTACATTTTGTTGTTTGTTGATTGTTGCAGAGAGGAGGACCTGAATGAGAAATTCCTAACAAATGTGTAGTGAGCGGCATCTTTCAGGCATCTGAATATCACTGTGTCATGAACTTTCAAACTTTAAGAACTGTCCGGAAGTCCTGACCCAAAATGTGTGCAAGACATTTAGTGAAATTGTTAAAAATGATATGATAATGTTGAACTGTGATTAACTTTACAGTTTGTGAATTTCATACTGCTTAGGCATTGTACATAACCATCATCCTATCTGCAAATATTTCTTCTAAAATTGATTAAATTGTCTTATTTGATCATATACTACTCTACTTATTACAAATTTCAAATTAAGACTCCAAACCATCAAATTTTAACAGCTTTATTTTAACACTTAACATAATATTTACAGCACAGTACAACAGCCAAATAAACTTTTACATCATACAAAAAATAAAAATGAAATTAAAACCAAGGCTCACAACAAATACCTGGAGGAAAATATTTGAAAATGCAGCTCACTTGTTTCTGGTTGGGTATTGAACAAATTTTCAAGCATTTTATGTTCTTGGAGAAGTATGGAATTATGATTGAAGGGCGATCTCATTATGGAACTCTCAGAGCAAGTCTTGTTCTGACAATGGAACTCACCTGTGATTGACGATTCTGCTACAATTCTGAGCATGCAGAACCCCTTGAAAATAAACTCAACTTCAGATCATCATGCGTTGGTTTAAAAAATCTTTCAGAATATATATATAGATACATGTCAAATGGGATGAAGTGGGCTAAATGTTTAAAAGTACATATCCTAGCGTACGCTGCCAACTGAATTTCTTAATTTTCTTCATAGCAAATTTACTTTTACCAATACATTAATGAGAGAATTATGGAACATATGGGCAAAGGAAATACATTATCTAAAAATCTAACTGATATCATTTTAAAAGTCTATTTTTTTTTGATTTTATAAATCATTAGTTCTACCTACGACAGCACTAGGTATTCAATCTTCCAGCAAAGTCCCAAGGCTCTATCAATATCATCATGGTTAACAGCAAATAATAATTAAAAAAGAAAAAAAAACATGACAGGAACATAAAATTGAATATTACACTGCAAAACATAAATTAAAGCTACTTCAGAACAGTATTCCCCCACAATGTTTTATATAAGAAATAAATTCTCCCTTAACTTAACAAAGACCCACTCAACATCAGATTATTGTCTGGTATCATATCCAAAATTCAGTTTAAGAGAAGAGAGTTACATAGTTACACTGCCACTGCTATAAAATGTTGGAGAATTTCAAAGAAGAATTTGCATTAGAAGTGCAAACTTTGTTACTGAGCGGTTCAAAGACAAAAACAACTTCAAAACACAGGAAAATCAGGACAAATGATTTGATAATTCCGCATGAAATACAACTTCGCTTGATTGATTAAAATTTTGAGGCTAAGTTTGGAGACAGAAATAACTACCTAAGTCATAACGTTATGTCAGTGGGTTTCCGGATGATTGGGTCACCAATTTATAGGTAGGAATGATAAGTTTATCACAAGGGGTCACAGAATTGCTCTAAATGTTACCATTGGCAAACAAAGTAAGACATGAAAATACTGTACATTCATGAACTGTTTGCTTCACAACCATAGAATGCACAGCTAGTAGAGGTAAAGAAGAACCTTCTGTTGAAACACTCTAGTACTGATGCAAGTTTTGTACATTATATTTTGAACAATTAACAATCCAGAATATGGTAGCCAAACCCAGACATATAGCTTTGAATTGAGACAGTCCGATACTTCACATTCTTAGATTCTGAAAAAGTCCCCAAATTTGTCATAATTAAGGCATCCAGAAAAATGAAAAGCAGACAGAACACAACACTAGTGATTTAAAAAAAATAAATACAAAAACACCTTTAAAGAACTTTGTTTAAGGGAAAACAATACATTAACTGAGGTTTTTAGGTAATAAAGGTAAAACGACTAGTCCTTACATCAGATAAAAATGGTATCTATAATTAACAATAACAAAAATTTTATACCTCAAATCAAAAGTTTGTTGTTGTTTTTTTAAAGAATTGAGATGACCAACCAATAAAAGATTCTGATACTAATATAACAAAGATTATTATAATCCATTTCATCATTTACAAGGAGGCATTTATACACTTCACAACAACCCAATCATGATTAAAGAAGAAACTTGTTGGTAAGGGTTAAGGTTACAACTATGTAGCTACTTACATCACAAAGCAATCGGACCTCATATAATGACAACAATTTCTAATTTCAAAATAATTTAAATTGCAGAGAAAAATGGTCCTTAAATGATATATATCTACTAAAATAACACAATCTAGTCCTCTTGAATGATGAGTCAATGGAGGCTATCCATCTATTAACAAAATTTGAGGGTTCCATGATTCACCAAATTCATATCACACCTCACACACAGGAATGTAACACCTGTTCTACATTTTAAAAATGAGTGGTAATGAATGCAAGGAATGCAAGAGCAAATCCACAGCAGTGAAGAACACAATGATTTCTGATTTCTCAATGAGAAACAGATCGTGACAGTTTAGGTCACAGGAATGGCCAACAACATTTGGCGGGGTTATATTTACCTAATTTTGTTTGAGATCTTCAAATCTCTCTATGAATTTGAACAGACTCCACCAGGGAGCAATTCTTTGATTTTTACACATCCAACATGAATAAATCATATTTCATTAAAAATAACATTGATAAAATCAAAACAGATGAGCAGAACGACTAGCTCCAAACAAGATGTCCCATCTACACAGGCAAATAAATGCATTGATGATTCTCTTCTTGAGCATTTCGGCTGAAAAATTTGGCAGAGGAGTAACTGTTGGCATTTTCTCCCATATTAGGCACAGCCTACAATTTGTTGCAGCCCAACTCAAGAAGAAATTAAGTAACAGGTCCTGAAATCTTCTTGCTGGTACATGAGCTATTCAGGCCCATATCTGTAACAAAAATTTTAGCATAAGAATTGAGGGAATTGAATACAATAGGTTCAAATTATTAATGAAACTTACCCTTAAAGTACAGTCCCAGCTTCCTGTTGATAATGCAGTACCATCAGGAGAAACTTGAAGACAAGAAACTCTGTTTTCATGTCCAATCAATAAACTGACTCGTGTGCACTTCAAAGTGTCCCACACATTCACAGTGTAATCATTATAGCCAGCAAAAAGTAGGCGCCCTGATAAATGAAGTCATTTGAAAATTAACCAAATAAAAATAACAACTCACAAAATTACCATAATAGTCCAAATCAATGACAAAAATAAATAACAGATAATGCTCCTCACCACTGACGGAGAAGTCGACAGAGTTCACTCCAAATATAATGCTCTCTTTAGTGTACACTGCCACTTCTTTGTCTGCTCTCAAATCAAAAAGTCGACACTGAAAACATTAAGGGACCATTAAGATCATGCGTCTCAAATTCCTAGATTAGATTAACCTGTCCAAAACACATACAGTAGAATCATCTGATCCAGTTGCAACAGCATCTCCACTTGGATGGAACTTAACACTGTTGATGTCTGACTGATGGCCTTCAAATGACTGCACACAATGGCCAGTTCTCATGTCCCAAATGAGAACCATCTTGTCACAGCTCTGAATGTAGGTGAATAAAGAGAATTAGCCTTCCATTGTTTAAAATTGTGGTTTCCTTCACCACAAGTTTTTGACACGACCGTACTCACCCCTGATACAAATGTGTTTCCTATCTCGGATGGAGCAAGGTCCAGAGCCATAACATCTCCAGTATGACCATGAAAATTTTGAAGCATTTGTCCGGACTCAACATCCCACAGAGCACAGGTTGAGTCACCACTTCCCGTAAGAATCTAGAATGAGAACATTTTTGTAAATATCAAAAAAAATTATTACATTAGAGAAACTTGCTGAAATATTTGGTTTTACCTGTTGATCTGAATTTGGAAATGTGCAGCATGACATATAGCTTGTGTGTGTTCCAACTGTCTTCTTCTGGGAGGAAACATTCTGGGACGAAACATTTTCACCCGACGTCAAGGAGTATACTGTTACCTTATTGTCAAGTCCCCTAGAATTGGATAAAGAAAAAAGTAAAACCAAAAATTACGATGAATTAAAAATGAACCAAGCTTCAACAAACCTCAAAGTTTAACAACAACAAAAAAGGCACCTTACAACTATTTCTATGGCACCACCACTTCAAGCATAAGGGTTTTGATTCAGACATGCAAATAATAAAAATGAGTTCCCAACTCACCCACAAGCTACCAAGTTTCCAGATGGTGCGTATGCACAAGCCATCACCCATGTTGTAGGCATAGTAACCGCATGTTCTTTGTTTGTGGTGAACGCATCCCATATTATCATCTTACCATCCTAAGTGTTTATAAATGAATAACAAAGAGAAATGATGTTAGCAGATTGTACAGAAACAAAAGCAAGACCAAACCAACCATCACCACAACCCACACCATGTTAAAGACATGCAAAGATGACTGTCAAAACACACAGACACAGACTGAAGGCAGTCCCAAACAAATCTTACACTAGAACTTCCCACACAACAATGTCCTTATTGATATAAAATCATCAAAATACTATTCCCTAGGGAAATAACAAGAAAAAGACATACCTGAGAAGATGAAACTATGTGTCGTTTGTCAGCACACCAGTCTGAGCACAACACCTTGGCCTGGTGCCCTCTCAGGACACGGCGAGGTTTGACATTTAACAGACTAATCATGTCAAGCCTTTCAGCCACATGTGATACTGTGAGACAAAACAGTCAAATTATCAGTGATAATGCCAATGAGAGAAATGAGTAATGATTTATTTTTTTAAACTCCCAGAGACATTGATTGGACAATATTTCAATACAGGGAGGAGGTTAGAGTACGTGACATGAGTGAAAAGGATCAAGAAACGACTTTTAGGAGCGAATGTGAACACATATTCTGTTTCAAGCCTTTCCAATGTTGATCAAATGAGAAAATCCGATAAAGAATAGAATGGAGTGGAAAGGACAGGACGGGGGAAGGGCCGAGGTGCAAGGTTGCTGTCAAGGACCAGAGGGGCGTAGTTGGTACAAGCACTCACAAGTAACATCGTTGAGTTTAAGGCGTTCATCTTCAAGCCTCGCTTTCAATGTGTCAGCTTCTTTGATGAGAGATTCCAAGTTTTCATCGGGAGTCCGAGTTACTTCGCCTGCCATTTTGGATTTTCATGAGATAAATTTGTTTCCACGGAGGAGTCGTCTGCTGCAGCAGCGCCCAGTGCTGCGGACGGAACTGGAAGGCGTCGCAGGCTAGGCGAATGAAGCGCGAAGTTCAAATGCGATGGCTCACGGTGGGAGTCGGGAGGGTCGACTTCCTGATTCCAGCGCAACTCGATGTCATTGAAAAGTTGTCCGCCTTTCGTTTTTTTAAGTCGTTGGTTCTTGTGGACATTGAACTTTTTTTTACCGAATATGCTGATTTTGTATACATATATATATAGAAAAACTTAAGTAATGAACAGGGTGGGTGATCCGTGCCGTGTTATTTTCTGCTTATACTGTGCCTGCGGGCGGACTTGCCTATCTTCGCTGGCCATGGCACCTTACGGCCCCGTTCGAGTATGCAACCCGTCCGCACGCAAGAATCCGGTACAGTAAGCAAAAAAAAAAGAAGACGGCGCGGATCACCCACCCTGTAGTGTATATCAGGAGGCTATGCATAACAAAGGAAGAAAGGGCAAGGCTTTGAACGTGCAAGGTAAGGATACGTCGCGAAAATTTTGCCCCCCCCGTACAACCTCATACACACTGTCATAAAGCACACGCTCTCGCGTTCGACAGCGTCATGGCGTGTTTTTTTGTGGGATTATCGAGATATTTGCGATATCTTAATCTCTCTCTTTCCCGCGAGCTGTAGGTCAGCCGAACCGGCACTTCAGCACCGTCGAGATTCGCCTGAAGCCCGTTCGAACTCTATCACCACCCCGAGCTTTCAAGAAAAATAAAA